AAAAATGATTCAGCACTTTTAAGATGGTGACTAGGGGACAGACAGCCTATTCACAATTCATGGGAAAATATCCAACTCATAAAGAGAAAGCTTCAAAATTCAAAAATAAGAATTTCTACTAAGCCATCATTTAAAGCTAGTAAAAGTTCTACTCTGACCTATGCCAACTAACTTCCTGAGGTTAGAAGCAAGAGTTTAGCACTTGTTCTGTGTGTTTAATTTTGACTCCCCAGCCAGATTTATAAACCATCTCATACTCCTTTGTAAGAAAGTGTTACATTTTCCTAAGTTTTCAAGTCATCTTAAATAAATTTTGGTTCTTCCCATTGTAATGAGTTTCTGTTGCATATAAAATTATTTTAAATAATTAAAAAATAATTCTATTTAACACATAGTTTAAGGTTTTCAATGTTATTAAAAGATCATAAATGGAAAATGCAATCAACAGATTTTTCACACATTGTTTCTAAATTCCTTCTTATGTTTCAAAACTGGCACCTTTTTGGAACTTCCCTGGCGGTCCAGTGGTTAACACTCTGTGCTTCCACTGCAGGGGGCATGGGTTCGACCCCTGGTCAGGGAACTAAGATCCTGCATGCCATGTGGCACAGCCAAAAAAATAAAATAAAAGTTAAAAAAAAACCTGAGACCCTTTTCAAATTAGCCTCTAGTAGAGTTGTTGTTTGAGTCAACTTTTTTTTTTTTTTAGTTTTGAATTAGGTCTTCATGGGGTTCAGAACTCAAAAGATTTAAAAGGGTATCAGGAGAAAACTCCCCTCTCACCCCTGTCCCCAGCCATTCAGTTTGTCTTTCCAGGGGCAGTCCTGGCTGTCCTTCCAAAGATATTTTACCCATACCCAAGAAAATAGGTTTACATAGTCTTTTATCTTCCTTTTCTACACAAATGGTAGCATACCCTACTCTCTGCATCGCACCTTGCTTTTCTCACTTAATACTGCATTTGAAGATCAGTCCATATCCACACCACACAAAGAGCTTCCTCTTTCTTCTTGACAGAGAGCTGGTATCCCAACGAATGGCTATATCGTACTTTACTTAATGAATCCCCTATTAATGGCCAGTTGGGCCGTTTCCAATCTTTTGCTATTGACAACAACTAGCTCTTACTGCATGCCACGCTTCATTCTATGTGCCTCACATAAATTATTTTGTTAATCCTCAGTGCTGAAAAAAAAAAAAAAGCCCTGTCACATATATGATTTCACACAAGGGGAATATTTATGCCTGAGAAATTCCTAGAAGTAGAATGTCTAGATCTGAGGGTTAGGTGCATTCAATTTTGGCAGGTATAGTGGTTGTACCAACTTATATTTATATCCCCGCCAGCAATGTAAGAACATGCCTGATTGCTCCCACCACGTACTATCAAATTTTTGATTTTTGCCAATCTGACAGGTAAAAACATGTATTTCAAGTATAGCTTTAGTTTGTATTTCTCTTGTGAGTGAGCTTACACATCCTTTTGTAAGTTTAAAAATGATTTGTATGTCCTTTTCTATAAAATATTATAGTGTTTGCTTATTTTTATATTGAGTTGTCTTTTTTTAATGATTTGGAGGTCCTCTATATATAGTAGGGCAGTTAGACATTGCCTATGATATGATTAAAAATGTTTTTTTGGCTTTACTTATAAAACTTTTTGCCATGCAGAACTTTAAAAGTTTTTATATGGTTGAATTTACTAATAGTTTTTGGTTCCTGGTTGTTAGAAAGCCTAAAATTATTAAAATGATTTTCCATGATTTCTAGTGCTTTTATGCTTTTGTTTTTTTTATACATTTAAAGCTTTGATCCATTTGGAATTTACCATAATAAAATTCTGGAATTTTATAAGGAGTGAGGGATAAACTCAATTGTGTTTCTAGATGGATACCTGGTTTTATCAACATTTATTGACTGAACTATCTTCCATGAATTAGAGATGGCACCTTTTTAAAAAAAATCTTTTTTAAATTTATTTTTGGCTGCGTTGGGTCTTCGTTGCTGCGCACGGGCTTTCTCTAGTTGTGGCGAGCGGGGGCTACTCGTCGGTGCAGTGCGTGGGCTTCTCATTGCGGTGGCTTCTCTTGTTGCGGAGCATGGGCTCTAGGTGCGCGGGCTTCAGTAGTTGTGGCACGTGGGCTCAGTAGTTGTGGCTCACGGGGTCTAGAGCACAGGCTCAGTAGTTGTGGAGCACGGGCTTAGCTGCTCCGCGGCGTGTGGGATCTTCCCGGACCAGGGATCAAACCCGTGTCCCCTGTATTGGCAGGCGGATTTTTAACCACTGTGCCACCAGGGAAGCCTGAGATGTCACCTTTTATCATAAGCTAAATTCTCACCCTAACTGAGTTTTAGAGTAAGATGTTGAATATTATTTAGTGATGCCAAATTTGGATGTTCTATTCCTGGCAGCCAAGCTTACTAAGAAAGTAATTGTAGAGCTTATCATTTTCTATTGAAAAAAATAACATGCCAAACTTCTGAGAGGACATTATCCAAATAGAAATATGTATGGCTCTTAGGAAAGAAAAGAAATTCATGGCAAATAAAAACTCAGAATTAAAATGATTTAATCAGATGCTTTTTAGAATAACCTTAGTTTTATTTTATTGAAATGGCCAGTTAGTTTGGTATAGTGGAAAGAATACTGGACTAGGAGAGGCCTGCTGGCATTTTTTTATCAACCTTGGTCTCTTCCTAATTTAGTAATGGCAACAAATACTTAGAACAGCGCCTTGCCTATAACAAATGCTAAAGGCTTTACATAGATCAGTTCATTCAGTATATGTAATTAATAAAGAATTTGTAATCTGTTATGAATTAAACAAAAATAAAATATTATTACTAAAAAATATGTCTATAGGTGCTTTCAGCTTAGTCATAAAAACCCAAAAACCAAAAAACAACCTAACACTGTTATGGGCTACATGCATGCTATAAAGTATACAAATAGAAAGTGGAACCTGGGGCAGCTTGTGGATGATGACCTTACCAAGGTTCTCCCTTACCTTCACATTCCTGTGTCTTCCCTTATGCTGATCCCCAGGTCTCAATGCCCTCCCTACCTACTTCCCCCAACACAGAAGCTCGTATCCTTCTTTTCTTTAAGGGCCACCCCAAATGTTGTCTCCTGGCCTCTCTTCCAGGTAGAATTATTCATGCAGTCTTCTAATTCCCTAGCGCTTTATATACAACGGTATGCGTTATAATAAAGGTAGCTTAAATATTTATTTTGTCTCCTCAATTATACTTGAGTTTCTGGAGGGCAGAGTTTCTGGAGGGCAGAGTTTCTGGAGGGCAGGGCCTGTGCATTATTCATTTTTGTATCTCTGTGCAGCTCTTGACATAGTTCCTGGCCTATAATGTTCAGCTGAGAGAAAAGAATAAAAATTTGCATACATGATTATACAGTATCCTATTTGATAAAAGTGGGCAAGGCCTCAATCAGAATCTGAGCCCCGATAGCTGGTAAAAACCAAACGATGGGGTTTCCCTGGTGGCGCAGTGGTTGAGAGGCCACCTGCCGAGGCAGGGGACACAGGTTCGTGCCCCGGTCCGGGAAGATCCCACATGCCGCGGAGCGGCTGGGCCCATGAGCCATGGCCGCTGAGCCTGTGCATCCGGAGCCTGTGCTCCGCAACGGGAGAGGCCACAGCAGTGAGAGGCCCGCGAACCGCAAAAAAACCAAAACAAACAAACAAAAAAAAACCAAACAGTGGTACAGCAGAAACTAACACAACATTGCAAAGCAGTCATACCACAATAATAATAATAAAAAACAACCAAACTATGTAATCATTCGTTATATTTCTCTCTGAGTGTATGAGAACCTGAGTGCAAAGTATTAAATGGATTTTGGCCTACTGTATTTTATAGGTGTGATCTACAGGGTGAAAATCAGACTTTTTCTATGACTGTATGTTTTAGCTTTCTCATTTTATTTTAAAAAGCCACACTTAGGGCGCTAGCTAAATAAGAATGTTGTTGATCAAAATTAGATTAGGAGACAAATACAGAAACATTACTTATCACACAGGCTACAACTCTCTGGAACATATTCAACAACCCCAGAAGGAATCCAAAAAGGTCTCTGAAGTTGGAAGAAAATAGCTCTCATGAAGTCTGTGTACTTGATGTAGGAGGGGAGGCACGGTGCCACTTGCATGCCAAGGCCTGCTTACTGACTTTGAATTTTCATGGAAAACTCCAAGGACTGCTTAGCAAGTTTGGATATGCGTCTTCTTTTCAAGACACTTTTCCTTGTCTTGGGTTTTGGTAGAAAAAACGATTAAGAGAACTCTTCCACCCATGCTGCCAGAAGGCACTAACTAAAGCATTGTTGAAATAAATGTTAAAAAAGTGAGTCTCGTGTTTTTCCTTTGTAAATCATGGAAGCTTACTTTGTTTTATTTATTTTTTTCATCTTTAAGAATTCTGATTGGCTCACATAAAATCAGTTGTGACAAAACTTTTTTTTTTAATCTGAGGTTTTAAATGAGTGACATCCTTTTCTATTGGTTTCTTTTTTTTTTATTGCGTTATGTGGGCCTCTCACCGTTGTAGTCTCTCCCGTTGCGGAGCGCAGGCTCCGGACGCGCAGGCTCAGCGGCCATGGCTCACGGGCCCAGCCGCTCCGCGGCATGTGGGATATTCCCGGACCGGGGCACGAACCCGTGTCCCCTGCATCGGCAGGCGGACTCTCAACCACTGCGCCACCAGGGAAGGCCCGAGTGACATCCTTTTGATCTCACCTTTTTGAGGGTGATTAATTTTAAGTAGGAAGCCTTCTTTATCATAGGTTGATATCCTGAATGTGAAAAGGAGCAAGTGTAAGTTTCTTTGCATAGTTTGGTAGAAGCTGTATAAGTAAGCCAAGCGGAAGAGTCAAAAGGCATGTTTAAATGATTTGGGGACTGTTATAATGCATGCTAACCATGCTAGTCAGAGCTGGCTCATGATTACAGGTATCACTCAGCTTGCTTTTTCTCTTCTCTTTCCAGATTGCCAAAATGCTTTGGAGTTTTTAACTGATTTTAAGAAAAGCCCCAAATAGATTTGAGACTGTAAAAACTGAAGCCGCAGCAAGGGGGATTCAGTGCCAATGCATCAACAAAAAAGGCAGCCAGAGTTAGTGGAAGGAAATCTTCCTGTCTTTGTGTTTCCCACAGAGCTGCTATTTTACGCAGATGACCAGTCAACACATAAGCAAGTGTTGACGCTGTATAATCCCTATGAGTTTGCCTTAAAGTTCAAAGGTGAGTCTCCTAGGTGTATTTTCTGGATTTTAACTACTCCCTACTAATTTTTGACTTGTAGAAACTAATTTTTTAAAAAACACTAATGGCCATTGTGACTTTTTCTTTCAGTTTTGTGTACTACTCCAAATAAGTATGTTGTCGCTGACGCTGCAGGTGCAGTAAAGCCTCAGTGTTGTGTGGATATGTAAGTCACAACCACTTCCTGGTAACATGTTTTCAGTGTGTTAATATTTATGTGTTTAACTTGGAAAAGATCTTTTCTTGAAGCTGCTCCCACATAGGCCTTCATTATATTTTGAATTTTTGCTGAGAGTTTGTCCCGCAACATACTTTTTAAGAAGTTTCTAAGAAATTCTAAACAGGTTGGCCAAATAATAATTCATTATGTTGGAGCTGATGTGTGTGTTAATATTTCCACGAGCACTTCCTCATTGTTGTGCTTTTATTCATAGCAGGGAGATTTATGGAGGCAAAGTTCTAACTTATTCCTTTAAATTTCTCTAGCTATAAGAGGGAATTTAGCCCTCTTTGGAACATCTTGCTGTTATAGTGTCATTTGTGGAACTAATAATACTATGCTCTCAGAACAATGGTCATATAAATTCATCTGAAATGATTCAGCTAATAAAACTGAAAGTTAGTCTATACAAACAGGAAGCGAGTGTATAACTACTCATCTGTAAAAGGTTATCTGAGCTCTTCCAGATAACTTCGTCTTAGAGTGTCAGATAAATGATTGTTTGTTCAAGCTGTTCATATTTAATTTTCACTTTAGAACTAGTGGTGACCAGATGGATCCAATGACCAGCCCTTAATTTAAGCTACCAAGTAAACTGTATTTGTTTAAATCTTCCGTTGAGAATGAGAAGCAGAAGTCTTTTCTCTTGCATACATTTTCATCATCTCAGAGCCATAAAATGATGTATCTTTGAGGACGCGTTTTTGCACATTTTTTTTGATTTTCGTTCAGTACGTAATAAGCACGGACTATTGCAAAGAAATATAGTCTCTTGCCTAATCAATGTTTTATCTTTGACTCAGTTGTTCTGTGTTCTCTATTAAGAACGAAGTAAAATAAATGGCACTGCAGATAACTTGCATAAAATTTATAGTACTTTATATACTCTTTTCAGAGAAACACAGAAATGCATTGTAAGCCTTCTGTTGCATTGGTCTTACTGTGTTACCTACTTATTCAATTGCTTATTTTTGCCTTTGTGCATGGACTTCAATTTTAAGTGTAGGGTGAGGTTCGTTATTTTGTTACTTGAACAATAAATAAGTGGCAATAGGAATTTATGAGACTTTTGTGGGGAAGAAACAATTTCACATATCCTGTTTAGTGAACATTGCTGTACACAGATAGCCAGGAAAAAAATGTCATTGCTAAAAGGAATTTTCTTTACCTATCATTCTTTTTTTTTACTTTTCTTTATTTATTATTCTTAAGATGACTCTTATTCATCAAATATTTCAGAATTACCCATTTCTTTTTGGGTTATACTGTAATTTTTTTTAAAGTATCACTAGCAAATTTCTGTATTTGAGTATTTGGTTATAGTCAGTTAATATGTATGAAATCTCTTGCTGAATTCCGCTTGACAGGCCCCCAGAAACCTAAACAGCATTTGTTCTTTTTTAATGTTTCCAGTGTGATTCGTCATAGAGATGTTCGATCCTGTCACTATGGTGTAATAGACAAATTCCGTCTCCAAGTTTCCGAGCAAAGCCAGAGGAAGGCCTTAGGAAGGAAAGAGGTCGTGGCTACTCTTCTCCCGTCGGCAAAAGAACAACAAAAGGAAGAAGAGGAAAAAAGAATAAAGGAACATTTAACTGAAAGTTTATTTTTTGAGCAGTCGTTTCAACCAGGTAGTCTGGATTGTTTTTAAAGCCCTTTTGAGGTCTTACACATTTCTTACTTTAAGAGAATCAGGGAGCAAAGAATAATTACTAGAACAATAACCTGCTGCTCTAAACCTAGTCGACTACTTCAAAAGTGAATGAAGAGATCAGGTACCTAGAATCGAACAAGAGGCCTAGAGCTGGCCTTTCAGCGGAGAGAAGAGCTCCCGCTAGATGAGGTTATAAGGAGAGGGCAGTCGTTGCCAGAGCCTTTTCAATCTATAAAACCTGAGACTGCAGGCCTTGTGCTTTATAATGCTAGCACAATTTGGCAATTCTATACTTTTGTTTCTGTGACTTTCCTATATCCTTTCTCATTTAATTAATTCGAAGAAGGAGAGAGATTGTGTTTGGCAATAGGCCAAGTTTGGTGCACTGTTCATATTATTTTGAAAAAAAAATCTCATTAAAGTTGAAGTTAATTAAACTAAGTAGATTATAATATCCCCTGTGGGCTATTAATTGAATCCCTCTCCATTCCTCATTTCCTTCCAGCTTAGATATTCAGGAGTGTTATGATATATTCTTTCAACATCGACACGATCCTCATAGTCAACTCTTGGACGTCATTCCGCCTCCCTCTGAACTTCTCATTATCTCCCTACAACCCTATTATAAGGGGAGGAAGATAAAATTTTCCATAGAAAAGCATGGAAACTTTTTGACCGTGATATATGAATGTGATAACAGCTGTCCTTGAAATTGCAACATTATATATGAGGGATTAAAAACCATCTAGTTGTCATTACATTAATTCATAGATCCCTATCAGTTTGTTCATCTTAGAACGTTTATCTCGACAAGACAGGGAGTAATGCCCCTTTGATTTACTGGAGCCAAGTGTCTTCTCATTCCGTGCAAGGAGTGCCCAGATTTTCTGGTGATACCAAGACTAGGAACTAGGTAGTAACTAGTAGATTGTTTTCTTCTCAGCAACTATTATTAACTGACAGGACCAGTTTTTCATGTTTCGAAGCTGAAAGAGAATCTCTGTCAAATGTCACTTCGATGTCCAATCAATACTGTGAAGTTGACTTATAAATAGATATGAAATGCAAGATTCCTCTTTTAAAATGCCTCCTGTAGAACAAGAAAGGCCATTTGAGCATTTGGTTTTGGGTGTTAATTTTATAATTTAAAGTAAAGTGGTCGTTACAGATCATTTTGGTATTTAACAGACTGATTTAATGCCGAAGAATAATAAGGGTTAAAAGTTTACTGTTTCATATATATATATTTTTTTTCTTTTATTTTTAAATTGTTAGAATTCAAGCGAAAATCATCCTAAAATACAAATGTGTATTAATTATTTTATTATTTTATTTTTATAATGAACCTTTGTATCTGAAGTACATTAGAGAATTCTTCAAATGGTAAAATTGGAGTAGGTAGATGAATAGAATAGGTGATATTGGCATAGCACATGGTGGTCTCTGTTTTGGGAAAAAAAAACAAACAAACCACACACCTCTCTAAGCCATCCCGGTCAGGAAGCTCAAGGAAAGCAGACATCTTATTTGTCTTGTTCATCAAGTTCATCACTTGTTCAGCACAGTGCCTGGCATACACAGTAGTTACACAGGAAATATGTGCACGGGCCTCACTAGGAAGGCTGGACTTCTCAGCTGGTAGGGGCAGCTGGGCTGGTTTTCTTTGTCTTACAAGGTTTCCACGGCTGCTGCCCTCTAGAGCAAGGGCGGCAGCACACACTAGAGCTCCCCGCTCCCCGCAGGTACCGCAAGATTGTGAGGGTCTCTCTGTGAGTTTAGCTGGAAAAATCGTTGGCGGCTGTATCGTGAAAGATTTGGATTTTAAAATGTGGTGAAAGGCAGTACAAATGAGAAATTTCTTCTCAAGTTATGTATTATATAAAGAGACATATAGTAGTAACAAATTTAAAAAAGTAACCAGCACCTATAATCCCACACACTTGACAGATCTGCTTACATGTGTTCCATGTTACTTTCTAGACCTCGTCTATGTGCATAAATACAATTATATATATATATATATACTCTTTTTTTTAACAGAAAAAAATATATATGTATATATTCTTTTTTTTCATTTAACAGAAATTGAAGAGAAACCCACAAAGCATACTTTCACAAAATACCAAAGCCCAGGTCATTAAAAAGTTATTTTAAAAAGATTCAGCTGAATCTTAGAGGGTTCGTCTTAATTACATTATTAATGAACTGCTATGTCTATGCCAGGTTTGAGCCAGTGCTCTCTGGCTTAAGAAAACTGCGTTCTTTATTATGGTTTATAATAATAAAGAATTGAAAATGACCTAAAAGTCATTTAGGGGATTGATTAAATTACGAATATTCATAAGATGGAATGTCAGGCAGACATTTACAAGGATTTGATAGAATGGTAGATAGTTATATATGGACATAGAAAGAGGTTCGAATATATTTCCAAGTGAGAGAAAAAAAGTTATAGAACAGTATGTATAGTATGGTCTCATTTAAGTAAAAAAATCATTTTACATGTTTATATGGGCATTTATAAAATCTGAAAGGATCTATACCAAGCTGTTAACAGTGTTATCTCTAGGAGGATGGGATTACAGAGGAACCTTTATGTTTTCTATATCTCTAAAATTTTTACAACCCTGTAGTATCAGAAAAACTTTCCACTTTGAAAAATGTCAAGCATTTATGTGAATGTTTTTGGAATTTCTCTAAATAGTAAAAATTCCTTGAAATAATCTTTACTGTGGGTTTGCATTGAACAGTGTAGTCGTGATAAATATTTTCCTTGAAAACTTACCTTTGCAATAAATATAAAGTACTACATTCGTTAGCAAAAGATAGACTTGTTTTTAGGCATTTATGCTATTGTTTCATCTCAAGCAATAATCACTATAAAATTTGAATTTGTTTTCACCTGTCTGTCTTTGGTGAGGCTCAATTAAACTTCACACAACAGCTATGGTATTAATAATTTAGAAAAGCTGCATCTAATAATAAAATGAACAGCATTATTTCATTAATAAAACACAAAGATTGTGTTGCTGTTGGCTATTCCTTTTAATGAAAGGAAGGGTAGTGGGAAAAGCCGTAAGACAGAAAATGCTGGTGGGTTTCTTAAAAATATGGGTATGAATATTGTACACATACAACCAGAACTGTAGAATAGCAGGCCAATAATAAATATTTTTTAATTTTATTTTATTGCGGTAAGAATACAACAAGATATCTGCTCTTTTAACAAATGTTCGTGTACAGTATAATATTGGTAACTATAGGCACAATGCCGTACAGCTGATCTCTAGAACTTATTCATCTTGTATAATTGAGATTTTTACGCCCATTGATTAGCAACCCAGCCCCTGGCAACCACCATTCTGCTCTCTGATTCTATGACTTTGACTATTTTAGATTCCTCATATAAACGGAATCATGCAGCATTTGTCCTTCTGTGATGGATTTATTTCATTTAGCATAATATTTGCCTGACATTGTTTCTGCTGCTTTCTTACTTCTATGCTATAAATGGGGGTAGAGTGGAGGGCAAGAATTTTCATAGGCAGCTTTAATAACATTAAAGTAGAACGTTTTGCCGCCTTAACACCTTCAAAAATGATAGCAGGATGCTGCAGGTATTAGGACCAAACCTGTCTCGAGACCTACCAGAGATACTCCCAGAAGGTAGTGGAGCTCTACTGCAGTGGGCTCCAAAATGGAGTACACACAAGCAGTGCATTGGGGGTATGGGAAGAAAATGCCAGAACTTCAATTTCTATCTATTTTTAGCCCATTCTCTGCACAGATAATACATGCTTGAACACTTTCTACGAATTCCGGTGGGGTAGTGGGGAAAGGATGATGACCACTGTCCTCTTCGGTAGGAACTCACTACCTCACATTCCATCCTGTAATGGGCTTCCAGATAAGTCCAACAGATCAGGCCCCACGAAATGGGAATGATGGGGAAAGAATCAGAAAAGTTAGGCAAAACCAGAATCCTGGTGAGTGATGGCCAGTCTGTGTGAATGAACTTTTGTCTTAAGTTGTTTTTAGAAGCAAGCTCAGGGGGCTTCCCTGGTGGCGCAGAGGTTGAGTTCGCCTGCCGATGCAGGGGACACGGGTTCGTGCCCGGGTCCGGGAAGATCTCACATGCCGCGGAGCAACTAAGCCCGTGTGCCATGGCCGCTGAGCCTGCGTGTCCGGAGCCTGTGCTCCGCAACGGGCGAGGCCACAACAGTGAGAGGCCCGTGTACCGCAAAAAAAAAAAAAAAAAGAAATAGAAGCAAGCTCAGGGATTTTTATCTTTTTACAGAAAACAGAACTGTCTCCTCAGGACCTAGTTTACTAACTGTCTTCCTGGGAGTTGTGTGTATTGCAGCTCTGATGCTTCCCACGCTGGGGGATGTGGAATCGCTGGTGCCGCTCTACCTCCACTTAAGTGTCAATCAAAAATTAGTGGCTGCTTATATCTTAGGTAAGTGTTTTAAAGGTGCATTGGGGCATATGTGTAGGCAATTTGTTTTCTTGAAAAGAATAATACATTGTTCTTTTCTTTATTCCATTCTTTCTTCAAAAAATCTCTTCTGGACTAAACTGTGTCCTAAATACCTGCAAAATACATTTGTAAAAACATGAGAATTATGGAAACACTCACATTAAACTTCAGTAGTCCAAGGATTCCTAACCTGAATCAAGGCCCAGAATCTTTAAATGGCTTGCCCGAGGTGTATTGATTACAGTTGATTCTCTTTTTAAAAAAGTTATTTAAAATTTTAATACAGTTTTTAAAGGTTACTTTCCATTTACAGTTATTACAAAATATTGGCTCTATTCCCTGTGTTGTACAATACATCCTTGAGCCTATCTTACACCCAATAGTTTGTACTTCCCACTGCCCCACCCCTATTCTGTCCCTCCCTGTGTAGGCAGTTTTTATGGCCTGGAGGTGGTAGTGGCGGTCTTTATGTGTGTGTGGGATGATGGTGGTGGCTTGATTTTTTTTTTAAAAGAAAAACAGATTGCTTCAAAAGCACGTTGAGATAAAGTGCGTTTTAAGATTTAATTGTTGGCTCACATTTAGTTCTTTTCAGCTTGTTTATCTAGTACCTAATACTGTATTTTTCAGTTATTTTCCTTTTGCTGATTTACAGTGGTATAAAACATGTATAAAATGTAAAATGCATACATTCCATGATACAGCATTTTTACTTCTAGGAATTGATCCTAGGGAAACATACAAAGCGCATGCAGTGATAAAGATGAACAGGGAAGCCTTGTTTAATGTTGTGACCCTTTCTCTTTAAACCAGTTCCCTTGTTGCCTGTTGAATCATTCTTTCAGTCATCCTGGCTTGAAACCTTATAGTTAATTAGTTCAAATGAACAAACATTCATTCAGTACCTACCATGTGTCAAGGATTAGGGTTCTGGTGATGAATGACTCTCCTCATCGTCTCCTCTCACCTCTTCTGAGGTGCCAACTCTTTTCAGTATTCTCTCTCAGAATTCCTTGGTGTGCTCCCTTTTATAAAATTTCTAAATTGTCTTCTAAGTTGTCTCCGACTTCTGTCTGTGTCCCTCCTATTCCTATTCCTCCCCTTTACCCCCATTATCTCCCCCCGCAAATCATCCATCACGTTACTGTCAGGTTGATTTCCATCCTGTGTTGATTTCACCACCACCACTCCCTACTCAACAACCTTCAGTGATTCCCCATAATCCGTAGAATGAAGTATAACTCCATAGTTCGGCATTGAAGACTCCACACTCTGAGTCCTCTCTGAGCTACTCTTGTCTAGCTGCTTCCCTATGTAACTTCTTGATTAGAGTGCGTTAGGTTATTTATTGATCCCCACAAAGCTCATCTGTAGCCCCGGTCCTACCTCCATGCCCTTGCTCTTGCCATTCGCTCACCTGAAGTGCCTGCGCATCATACTGTTCTGTATCTTTCCTGTCCATCTTTTAGGCTTACTTCAGCTTGACCTTTTGGGGCATCTTCTCGGACTGCTCCAGTCCTATGTGATTATTTTCCTTCTCTGTACTTTATCACTCACTTTTTAAAAACCACTCATTTAGGACTGAGGATATTCTTATATTATTAAATTTTTTATGGTTTTATGTATGGAGTCTCTTCAAAAGAAACAAGCTAAGCAGAAATACTATGCTTCTGTCTCTTTGTGGCCCTAGGGCCCTGGGATACAAACAGGCTTGCATTGTTTTTGTTGATGAAATTAGCAGGCTTTACTGACACTTTAAAATGCCATGTCTGCTATTATTATAGTTGTCGTGACTGGATAAAGCGAGAGATATATTTGATGGTTAAAAAATTAGCTACGGCCAGACATTAGTGATTGCATTAAATCTATCCAATGACTGCCTATTGCTGTAAATTGGATTTCTTCTGTATAGTATCAGCTAAATTCAAGTTGATTTTGAGTTCTTGGTAGAGTCCCTGCCTATGTGCTGTGTTTTATTTGCTCACTGAGGTGTAAACAATTATTTATTGAATGGAAGATTTTGTAAAATGCATGTCCTTAACTATTCTCCAATTTTTTCTTTCAGGTCTTATCACAATGGCTATACTTAGAACATGAGCAAGGAATTCACTTGACTTCTGAAGTAGATTTATCTTGAAAATATGAATGTGGACTGCCTTTTATCTTTATTTCACCCCATTAACATGCTACAAACTATTGATTGATTTACAATCATTGCAAATGTATAATATATATTTTAAATTACTCTATAATTTTATTCCAAGGACTCCAGCACATTATGTTACAGGCAGCAAGGAAGCTTCTGAGTGACACTTAGGAAATTTTTTGAAGAAATCCTTTTTATATCTAAGCCAACCATGCAAAAGACTTTAATTAAGACATTTGTTATTTTCTCATCTTTTTTCTAATTCACTTTGATTGTTGAGGTCATGTATCCTTCAAAGTTAAAGGCCTAAAAGAGCGAACTGACCAGCCTGAAAATAAAATTACATTTATTTCCTAGCTACGAACATCAATGTTACTATATAAATTATGCCTTGTCCTCTATCATTATATACAGTCGCCATGGTGTTTCTAAAAATAAGAGTTTTACAGTTAATGTGTAGAAGGTACAAAAATGAAAAAGCATAAAGTACTGAGGGATCATGTTTATCTTAGGGTCTCACAGAAGACAGGACATATTTAATTCATCTGGTGAACTACAGGATAGGTTGTGGTCCAGCCACCAAGAAGTAGGGTGACCATTCTGTTTGGTCTAAGAATTGTGAAGGAAGGTAGGCATAATGCCTTATGTTAATAGGAGGAAAAATCACTTTATCTTTTCTCCCCAGCCCTTTGCCTGACTGTAAGCTACTGGCCCAGATGGGGACTACCAATGCCAGGTGGTTTATGTGGAGATGATTTTTCACCTTTAAACTCTAAGCCAAGTACAAAAACTCCTTAATATCTGTGTCTATTTTTTATCAGTCACTGAGACAATTTTTAAGTTTGTATTTATTATTAAAACAACTTTACCAAAAAACGTCCCCAAAGCACAACTATGTACATTTATTTATAGCCTCTTCTGATCTCTAACATATATATGCAGTTTTAACTGTTATTGTTATAGTATCTGATCTTTTGACTTAAGATTTTTATCTGAGAGCACAATGCATTGAGTCTCTTGAAAATCATCTTCCAGATCTTTTTACAGAATGAACTTATGCACTGCTACTGTAGTATTCTTAAGGAATATATGTAAACACGAGATGTATGCCTGAGGTTGGGTTTTGCAGGAAACAGTACTTTGCTTCTAAAGTAAAAGCTTTTACATATACTCTTTCATAGAAAATCCTCATTGTTTAACCATTTGGGGAGCATAAATCATTAAATGGATCATGTCTGTACGTTGTATAATGACTAAAAGCACATAAATGTAATCTATTTTGAACTTTGTAAAAAAAAACCCTTGTGTTTGAAGGTTATCCTTCTTTCTCTGTCCATCTCAAGTCGCGTGTGTGTGTGCACGCGCGTGTGTGTGCGTGCGCGCGCGTGTGTGTGCGTGTGCAGGTGCACGCACATGTGTGTGTGCATGTGATAACACATTGTAAAGAACAGAAATTACTTTAAAAAAATAAAAGAAAATGGAGACCTAAGTTTCACAACGATTGACACATTTTGTTTCGGTATATCTCTGAGGAACTCAAAGTCTCCTGTTTCCCAAAGCTGTCTCCTATTCCTGTGAGTTAAATAAGCAAAAATAAGAAGTGAAATATGTGAGCTAAAATGTCTTAAGTTTTTAAATTTACCAAAGGAGTTCATTTGTTTTTACAGTTTTTGAATAGGTAACAGTTACGTGCTTCAAAAATCAAAAACTGTAAAAAGGTATACAGTGAAAAATCTCTCCTCACCATCCCTGTTCACCCCGTTCCCTGTCCACACAGCTCCTTACAAGTGACCACTTTTTTTTTTTTTTTCTGCGGTACGCGGGCCTCTCACTGCTGTGGCCTCTCCCGTTGCGGAGCACAGGCTCCGGACGCGCAGGCTCAGCAGCCACGGCTCACGGGCCCAGCTGCTCCGTGGCATGTGGGATCTTCCCGGACCGGGGCACGAACCTGCGTCCCCTGCATCGGCAGGTGGACTCTCAACCACTGCGCCACCAGGGAAGCCCACAAGTGACCACTTTTATGAGTTTATATATACTTCGTTTGTTTCTCCAAATATATATTCTTATTTTAATGCTTTTATATATAAATGGTAACATGTTCTACATACTGTACTGCACCTAGCTTTTTTCTACTTAACGCTATATCCAGGAAGAACTTTCTATATCAGTAAACAGTATCCTCCTTCTTATTACAGCTGCATAATTCATTTTACCAGTTCCTGACTAGTTCTACCAGTAACGCATGAGAGTGCATTCCACAGTCTCATTAGCTATGTGTTTTGCCTGATAGCTGAGAAATGGTATATCCGTGTAGTTTTAATTTTTATTAACTTAAAAGTGAGGTTGACCATCTTTTCATAGAGCTTATTCACATCTTTGGTCCCACACCCCCTGCTTTCTGGTGGGTGGGTGGTTTTTTTCCTTATTGGCTGTAGGAGCTCTTTGTGATATGAGTTGCAAATATTTCCTTTCAGTTTATCATTTTTCTTTGACTTTGCTTATGGTGTCTTTACCATGCAAAACTTATTCTGGAGTCGTTGAATTTATGAATCTTTTATGACTTCTGGATTTTGAATCATAGTTAGAAAACCCCACTCCAAGGTAACAAATCATAGATACGCACATGCATACAAACACCAGTTAGAAGATATAGAGAATAGTCCATTTACAATAGCAAAAAAATTAAATTAAAAAAACCTAGGTTTAAACTTAAAGTCCCGAAACGTTTATAAGGGAAACTAAAACACTCCTGGGAAACACGAAACTAGACCTGAACAAATGGAAAGACATCTGGGATGTTCTTGGATGTGTAGTCTTAACATCATAAAGATTTCCTATCTTTCTAAGTTATGTAAATTTAACATGATCCCAAAAAGAATACCACAAAGTTTTGGTATTTTTGTTTTTCACCTAGACAGGTTGACTCTAGAGTTCATATGAAGAAATAGCATAGCCAGGAAAACTTGAAGAGTAAAGGGAGAAATTTTTCCAGAAATTAAAACTTCTATATAACTCCAATAATTTCAATAATGTGCCATTGGCCTGTGAACAAACCAATGGAAAAGAATTGGAGTACAGAAATAGACCCAAATATACCCAGGAATTTAGATAAAGGTGTCATCTGCAAACAGTGGAGAAAAAAATATACTGGTCAATAAATGGCATGAAAACTGGATGGCCATCTAGAAAAAAAAATTGAAGTTGGATTGATGCATTCCACCGGGATAACTCCAAATGGATCAAAAATTTAAATGTAAAAAGATGAAACCATCAAGGTGCTAGACAACAGAAAGGGAGAATTAATTCCTTTAAATCTTGGAAGGGGTTAATTCTTGATGACTCAGTAACAGTATTTCATATGAAAGACTAAACTCATAACCAACGTCTCCCCTGGGCAGTAGTTATACTCCCCTCCTCAGCGTGTAACTTCCCAGTTTTGTAAAAGGACCGCCCCCAAATGAGTTTTCAAAGTAGATCCCCAGAATCATAAAACGGTTGGATTTTTCCCTTTTAGAGATTACTCTATTCAACTCACTTAAGTTCTCCCCTTTAATTCAAACCTGCCGCATTTTGACACGATATAATCAACAAGAACTGGGTGACCGGCAAGTGATCATACACTGTGTGTCTGCACTGTGTGGATTTACAGTCCACATTTGAGTGTGTGGTGGCACCTCAAATAGCCTTTGATCCAATTCAGTGCTGAAGTGCCTGGCACACCCCACAAATTCTGTAGGAGCTGGAGAGGCCTGAACTGGTCTTAGACGGTGGGCTGATTCACACACAAAGAGTAGCGGGGTTCACAAGAAAAGGCGAGGATAAATGTGCCACGAGGTGAGGTGAGTTGTTCTGAAACGATTTCCAGGGAGATATTTGAGACTGTGATTGTGTGTGCCGTTATTTCCTGTCTACCGTGAAGAAAACTTTTTTTCTGCCATGATTAAAGGGGCTGAACACCGGCTAGTGAGGAAAGAGCCAAGCTTGCCAAGGGGCCACCGGCATTACAGAATTTGATCAGGGACATGGTAAAGAAGTTGTCATCGTGCAAGTGAATATGATTCATCTCGAAGGCAGCTAGCAGACAGGAAACGCACAGCAAGAGGCATGGCAATAGTTGTAATTATCTGTCACTGTAGGTGTTTCTGCTGCCTCGAAATCGTTAGGCATGCACAGTTCTGCCACCCGAATTCACTTCAGAAGGAGTTGTACAAAGTCAGCGTGTAAAGCTCCAGGTTTCTAGTAGGGATTCTGGAAACGAGTGTCTCCTCGACGTTTTCATTCACCGAACTATTAAGTAGAAAGACTAAACAGCAACAGCTGAGGAGACACCTACAGGGTTTCAACGTGAACATGGAAACAGAACTCTGAGGTTTCAAAACTTTGTTATTACAAAAGAGATTGAAGATTTCAAGTAGCACCTAAAGCCCTGACATTTTGAGAGAACAGGCCTAAAAGGAACAATTTAAAATAGACCTAAAGGAAATTGCAGGTAGGGGAGTGCTTGGGACCGTGTAGCTGCTCTAGGAGATTCAAGTGGAGGGAGTGTCACTGTATTATCCCAGCAGCAGAATGTCAAGTTACGGATTATTTCATTAGGAAAATATTTGCTACACCTGTAATCTTGAAGCGATTAAACAACATACCAGAGCAGAACATTACTCTCCAGGATTAAATACCAAACAAAATAACAAAGAGTTGACCCAGCTACGGGCCACTGGGATGAGACCTTGTCCGGTTACCACATCAAAGACCCTTGAAGTAAGCCATAGGCAGAAAAAAAGAAGAATCAATTAGGATATTGGACTAAACTCAAGCTGGTTGTTTCCTTTATTTTGTTCATTTAGTTTCTAATTTGCCCCTGTCACTTAGTTAATCTAAATATGTCCAAAAAATTAAAGTGGCACCCACCCTGAGCTATGTCAGCTCAGTACCTAATAAAAATGGGGCCCAGTTCAAGGAAGATGATGATGGGGAACGTCCAGCTCACTAAATGCATTTTCCAATTAGCTGGGAGATTGCTTTGTGAATCACTGACTTTAATGAACACGCAAGCTGGGCCGTTCAGGATGGGGGAAAGCCCTCATTCAATACAGTGAAAAGAATAAATGAAACGATTTCACGAGAATATAGACAGATTTTAGTCCACCAAGGCAGAGAAAAACAATGCAAAACCTCTCTTGACAAAATGAAGTGTGAACTGTGATAATGTTAAGGGGAAAAAACGTGCTAAACCCTGGGGTGGATGGGTAAATTACTTTTGCACAATCACAAGTCATGGCAGACGAGGTTAGGAATGGATTTATTTGGGGAAATTGAAACAAAAGCTCCCTCTCTCCCCTAATGAACATGTTTTTGGAGCTAATCACTGTACTAGGTTACCTGTGTCTTCTACTCTTTGCAGGCTGTTTGTTTATGGGCTTTTCTTAATAGACTTTATTATTTAGAGCAGTTTTGGGTTCACAGCAAAATTGAGCAAAAATTACGGAGACTTCTCATATACCCCTGTCCTAACCTCCAACACGTGCATAGCCTCCTGCACCATCCACATCCCACAGAGGTGCATTTGTTATAATGGAGGAACCTACACTGACACATTATTATCAAGCAAAGTCCATAGCTTACAATAGGATTCACTCTTGTCGTATGTTCTGTGGGTTTGGACAAATGCATAATGCCATGTATCAACCATTTTAGTATCACATAGATAGTATCATATAGAATAGTATCACTGCCCTAAAAATCCTTTTTAACTTAAAAACCTTGTTATGGATAATGATAAACATGTACAGAAGCAGAGAGAATAGTATAATGAACCCCTCCCATTTACCCATCGCCTGCTTTCAGAAATGACCAACCATGGCCAATCCCAATGAGGTATTTTGCAAAGGCTATGAGAATGGAGCTATAGGCGGACTGGTATTACTTTTGTGGAAAAAGGATTTCTTCTCAGTTAAGTGAGTGATTGAATTATTTTGGAGTGACCATGTATTAAGCACTAACTGTGCTAGGTACTTTGCAAATGTTATCTAGACCCTTGCTACTCCAAGTGTGGTCGGTGGACCAGCAACATGGGCATCACCTGGAGCTTACCGGCAGTGAAGACTCTCCAGCCCCATCTCAGACCTACTGAATCAGGGTCAGCAGTTTAGCAAGATCCCCCAGGTGATCTGTATGTGACTTGAAAGTTAAGAAGCACCGACTCCCTGGTCCAGGATAGACACTTAAAATAGCATCCTAACAACCCTGCAACAACTCCTCAAGGCAGATACTATCATGCCCAATTTATAGATGAGATAACTAAAGCTCAGAGATATTATTTGGCCTTTTCAAGGTCTCCACAGCTAAACTTAGATTTGTCCGGCTTCAGAGCTTATGATTTTACCGCTTAGAGCATGCTGCCTCCCAGCTAGGGGGCTCACTTTTGGGTTAACTCAGTGGAAAAAGAAAAGGAGATGGTAGTATGTGTTTGCACAACAGAGGACCGACCAGTCATCCTGGCAGATGATGACGACAGCGACGACGACAGCGACGATGACAGCAACAACAGAAAACCAAACAGTTTGCTATTATGCACGCAATCACTTGCTCCACTGAAAGACTTTTTCACTTTTCAACCAGTTATTATGGAATCGTGTAGGCAGCTAAATATTTCAGAGCGGTCAGAGGTCAGGAAAAAAAACTGGAGCAATTATCAAAGTTAGTCCCCCTTGACAGTATCTGTTGACCCAAATATGAACCAAACTGCAAACCATATGCTTTCCCAGAACAGAGAGAAGATGTGCTATAGACTCACATAACTGGTAAATGCATTTCTAAAAATCCGTCAGGCCAGTTTGACATCATATAGGCAGGAAAGGCAGGTTTCACTTTCCAACCAGCTGGGCAGTTTTAACCTATAGCTCTGCTTATACTGAGAAGGGAGCCTGAAATGGCTGAGCACTGTTGGGCAATGCAATAGGACCCTTTGTGTTCTGGGTAGCATTTTGAAAGGAATATTACAGGAAAAGGTAGAGAAAAAGCATAATTCTGGGAGCACACCCCAACTTTAGCAGAAACTCATTAGATCTTAGGAACTTCTCCCTCTAATCCTAGCAGGAGATTAGGCCGTTTCCTACTCTTTCTGCTGCGCTAATGACTCAGGGGATCAGCATGGCTGCTTGCTTTTGCAATGAGCTGATCTGATGATTAATTAGCCTCTAGCAGAAACCTGATGAAGTTCTCAGTTCAAAGCCCCAGGGATCTAGTTCAGGGCAATCTGTCCTCAACAAAAAAAGACTAGGTGAAGAGGCACGCAAACTGGCCTGGTGAGAGGGGGCCGCAGGGCTTATGATTGACTTTCTACTTTACAACCAAATGACCTGGACACAGCCTGCTGTTGTAAAACAGTATTCCTACTGAAAAACAGTAAACCCACTGGCTCAACAAAGCTAATAGTCTACGTGCATGAAATCAAATTCCTAGTGTATCATCTCTGCCTTGTAAATACCTATTTGGATCACTTTATCCCACATTCTTTTTTTTTAATCCCACATTCTAATAGATTTCATAACATTTTATGGCCAACCTTGCCCTCATGCTAAAAAATATAATGAACAATACTAGGAATTGAGTCAAAAGAGGCCCAAATAAAGCCACCTAAGGTAAAATGGATGTCTTATGAAAGTTATCTTAAGAATGTTTTTCTACACATTGAAGGAGATTTTAAATAGTATTTTAATACTGTATTTGAATATTTTGATCACTATATTTTCCCTCTGAAAATCTCACAAAGACATTTCTAAGATCTATTTATCTAAATGACCACCTTTGTAAGGTTAGGAGGGCAGTTATTATTGATCCCTCTTGTGAAGATGAGGAAACAGAGGCTCTGACAGTTGAAGTTAATTGCCCTCCAGCAAGGAAGGGGCACAGCCTAGATCAGCATCCTGATGGTGAGCCGGCCCTCTCTTCTTTCCACTTAACACAGGTTGAAGAAAAAGGTAGCACAAGAGTAGCCACAAAACTATCCCCTAAAAAAACTAAGGCAGCTGAGAACATGCCAGGATTATTAAATTAGTTGGAAATACCTTTTCACTTTGGAAATTACAAGTTACACCCATGGGTCATTTGGTGAGGGGGAAGACACTGAGACACGAGTACTGAAGGCCTTTGGGTTGTAAGCTGTGCTATGGACCCAGAGGAATGGCACTTGGGGTGGGGCACAAAGCTAGCTGCATTCTGTCCTTCCTTTCCTCACTGCTCATACTCTCCCCACCTAAGGGGAAGTCAGGAATATTCTGGAAGGCAGGGGCCCCTACTCAGAAAGTAGGGAGCTGGGGCACTGTTGTGCCAACTTCAAGAAGAGGGCATTCAGTAGACTGCAGTGTCTCCTGGGCCAAAGTCAGATGCCTTCCCCACCTCTACTTCTGGGGCTGGCTATGGAGGGAACCATTAGTTCGAATTTATTCTAAAGGGCACGTCCTAGTGGGTCTGAGTCTGGATCTGTGTATGTGCTGCTATCCAGCTGTGGAGAGCACAGCGCTCTTCGTGACGTGAAGAGCGAGTTAAGTTCGTGAAAAGATTTCAAAATAGTCCAGGGGAGAGGAGGTGGGGGAACCCCCATAGCTTCACTTCTGCTAGCCCCTTCCAGTTTTACCATGACTTTGAGTCATTATTTTCTGATGTTCCTACAACGGGCTATAGGGTGCCCCGTAAAGCTCTCTTCCCCACAAGGGAGTCCTGGGGAGTTGGGCTCCAGTTCGGATTATCTAACAGAATGACCCTTGTAGATACCATGTAGATAACACACAATCAGCCCAAGAAATAAATTCCACACATGAACCACATACATTTGAAAGGCCCCAACTGCTGGGAGCCAGACTAATCTGTAGTTAAGGAAGGGATTTCTGGAATTTTCTGTGAGCCTCCCAGGCTTCCCGCATCTCATCCCTCTCATTACGTAAAAGGAATGGAAAAAGGAGATGTTTGTTTGGGCCAGGACAGTGTGTGATGGGAAAAATCAGCAGGTGAGAGGGCATTTTGTAATATTTAATCTAAAGGTAAGAGTTTTGCTAACTACTGAATAAATTTACGGAAGGAAACAATGTCCTTGGTATAAATATTTATATCAAATAACTCAACACTCCTAAAATCCTGGAGAACGTTCTGGTTTGCATGTCATAGGGGCTGGCTGGACACTTGGAGGAGATGTCGTAGACAGAATTTGGGCATGGGATGGGAGACTGGGCTGGAGAAGTTACTCCTTCAGGCCTGAAATTCTGTGAAAACTAGAGGTGCCAACCCATTTTCTTACGGAAACTGTACTTTTTAAAGTACAAAATTATAGAGATGGAGAACAAATTAATGGTTACCAGAGGTTAGGGATGGTGGAGGGGGACGGGGTAGGTGTGACTATAAAGGGGCACACCAGGGAGATCTTTGTGGTGACAGAATACTTTTGTGTCTTGATTGCGGTGGTGGTTCCACGAATCTATACATGTAATAAAATGGTGTAGAACTATACACACACATTGTACCTATGTCCACTTCATGGCCTTTATATGGTACTATAATTATGTGCAATGTGATCATTGGGGGAGATGGAGTGAAGGGGAACTTCCTATGAGTCTACAATTATTTCAAAATAAAAAGTTAAGAAACATCAAGCACAATCCTGCATTTCTTTTAAGTGCCCTACAAAACACTTCATTTATACAATTTTTCTTTTAAGAGAACCCTACCCCACACACCATAACTCCTTCACTCTTGAGGATTAGAACTACAGACTTAGGAACAAACTTTTCCTTTTCCATCTTAATTTCTTCATTGGGAACAAACTGTCAGAGACTGCATCTTCCCCTTTTTAATTTTAATCTACAGGTCTGACGTTTCAGATGGAGCTATTCGGTTGGTAATGCCTTGAGCAGACACAGACGGGGAGGTTCTAGGTCTGACTAAGCCAGCTCTTCTCTCTGAAATGGAAAAAAAGCAGAAACATGTTAAATTCCTGTCATGCCTTGCATGTGAATAGAAGCATAAGGGTAGGCAGGAGGGAGAAGACAGGTCAGGAGGGTCTGGGGTCCTCTGGTAAAGCAGAGAGGCTCTTCTCAGCTCCTCTGTGCTTCTGGTGTTGAGAAGCATAGAGAAATTGCCCCAGGAGGTCAGGCACTTGAAAGGTAAACAGTTCAACTAGCCTCAGAGAGGGGGCCCTTCGAGTCAAATGTAGAAATGTGAACCAGCTTCCTTCCCCACCTCCCCAAGTACATCAGAAGCGGAGGTGGACAGAGCCTGAGCCCTTCAGTGGGAACAGGTGGTTGTAACGGGCAGGTTATAAAGGGGTTTGGGATGGGAGCACCTGCCACGGGCTGTCAGCTTCCTGACACACTCTATCTGCCAGAGGCCCCAGCTTGGCCTTCGTAGATTCCATGCATCTCTCTGAAACTTCTTCAATCCATCTCATCTGACCCAGAGCACATGACTATAAGCTGTCTCATATTATTCTCTTATTTTGAGTCATAGGGGCCTGGGTTCAAATCCTAGTTCTACTGCTTATTATTTGTGTGATCTTGGGCAAGTTGTCTTAACTTTTCTGCCCCTCAGTTTGCAGATGGGGCAAATGGGGATAATACCTGCCTTACAGGGTTTGTAAAGTGTCTGGCACCTAGTAGGTGCCTAGCAAATGTTAGCCTTCTCTTTGCTCTGCTCATTGTTTTCAGTGTGGCCACATCACCCACTAGACTGGAAGCTCCTTGAGGGAGCTTCTCCCCCTGTACCTAGCATCGGGTTGAGTACACTGTTAATGAGTCCCTACTGGTTAGGCTAAATGGTGCCTTCCCAGCTGCCTCAGTGATACTACTGATGGAGACCCAGAAATGGGCATAAAGGAACATCAACATTTCATTTCTGTTTTGTTTGGCTTTGGTTTATTTTTCACTTTCTTTTTTAAAAAATCTTATTTTTTAATTGAGGTATAGTTGACTTACAGTATTATATTTTTCAGGTGCATCAACATTCCATTTCAAAGATATGAAAGTAACATACTGAATTCTTTACTTCCCTGATACATTGTTATAGTAAAACTGTCCATGTGATAAGGCCCACCTTTAGAGCAAATATAATTTTAGACGAATATTATGTACCTCAAGTAAAATTAAAGTCAGTATAGCAATACAATTCTATCTCAAGAAACAAGAAAAATCTCAAATAAACAACCTGACCTTACACCTAAAGCAATTAGAGAAAGAAGAACAAAAAACCCCAAAGTTAGCAAAAGGAAAGGAAGCATAAAGATCAGATCAGAAATAAATGAAAAAGAAATGAAGGAAAGATAGCAAAGATCAATAAAACTAAAAGCTAGCTCTTTGAGAAGATAAACAAAATTGATGAACCATTAGCCAGACTCATTAGGAAAAAAGGGAGAAGATCAAATCAATAGAATAGCAATAGGACAGGATGTCCGCAACTTACTCTCAAGTGTTTTAGAAAAAAATGTGTGTGTGTGTGCATGTGTGCGTGCGTATGCGCGCGCGTAGAGAGACAATGGTAAATGTAATAAGATGCTAACGATAGATAAATCTTCATCAAGAGTATGTGAAATTTCTTTTTACTACCTTTGCATTTGATCTTCTGTAAGTTGAAAATATCTTGAATTAAAATTTTAAAAATATATTATTTTGAGCATTTAACCATAGTGCCTGATGCTGTGCTAGGTATGATATTCAAGGAAGAACAAGACATGGTCTCTATCTTTAACCCAGAAGCTCATGGTCTGGGGCTGGCAGGACAAAAAACAGGCCAGCACAATTCAGTGTGATAAAGGATGGCACCGAGGAGGTGTGCTAAACCCAGACCTCCTAGGGTGAGGGGGTTGCAGAAGGCTCTTTACAGACGAGGTAAAGGAGAAGCTTAATGTTGGGGGAACTAATTAAGTTTGGGGTGCCAATAGGACATGCAAGCAGAGCTGACCAACAGACTGTGGGTTATAGACAAGAGGTGCCTCCTGAGGACAGACAACAAGGCCTGGATTAGCAGGTGTCAGGGGCCAGGCCAAAATCACCGTAGCCTCTGAGGTAACATAAGAAGTGCAGGCATAAGCAAAAACACCTGAAGCTGAAAGGTTGAACACAAGTGTGCTTACTGATGACTTAGGATGAACTTTGTGGTGCGAAAACTGAATGTCCCAGAGACATCAGCCCCTAGATTGATAAATATCAATAGAAGTAGCCTGGATAAGGGCATGGCCCCAAATTAGCTAGGATTGCTAATAATAGACCGTGAGGCAGGAAGAGGACATTAAGTGATCATAAGAAACAAAAGAAGTGATTTCTCAAGAACAGGATGAGCTTTACCAGCAATAAGGATAAGGTAGTACCCAATTAACACACAACAGGATGGGGAGAGGTTGTTGTTAATAGGAAAAATCCTGAGAACAGTGCTGGGTTCCACAATGAAGGGAAATCAGCAAGGCAGTACTGCTGTTTCAGAAGTCAATGGGGGAATGGGAATTTCCACTCAATTATTAGATATAAGAGCCAGGATGAGAAAGTACGTGAATGTTCCTACCAAGGGCCTGGTGGGAGCTCATTTTTCTCCTTTCTTTGAAAACTTTTATATTATGGAAAATTTATAAAAACAATGAGAACAGCATTGGCTTAAGCCACATTAAACTGCCAAAATGTGACAATTTTTGACCCACAAAAATGCAATTTCATGTTTCAAAAGCAAATGAACTCCCATATACCCATCACCCAGCTTCAGCGATTACTGACACATAATCAACTTCATTTCATCCAAGTCCCCACCCATTACCCTGGCAAACTAATTTGAAGCAAATCTCTGGTGGGGTTTTTTTTTGTGCTTTTAAATAAATGATTTAATACCTATAAAAGAGATTAATATTATATATACATATGTATTATAATGTTTTTACTTAATTTTCTCAGTAAAGTAATATATTCATGTGGCTCAAAATTCAAAAGATACATCCTGTTGCATACCTTTAATATATACAATTTTTATTTTGTAATTACACTTCCATAAAGCAAAAACAACAACAACAACAAAAAGAAACGTACAAAGCGAAAGGACAACAGCTCTCTTTCCTCAGAGGCAACCGACATTAACAGCTTTTTATGTATCCTTCCAGAGACGTTTTACGCATATGTTAGCAAAGAGATTGCAAACTATTCCCACTGATTTTTACCTTGCTTCTCCCAACTAACAAAATATTTTAGAGATCGTTCCATATCAGCACATAAAGAGCTCCCTCTTTTTTCCAGCTACCTAGCATTCCATTTAAGAACCACAATTTATTTAACTAATCAAATCACTATTGGTGGACTTTTAGGCTGTTTCCAATCTGTTGCTGCTATAGACAGTGTTGCAATGACTCACCTTACGCATTCATCTTGCATCAAAGCAAGTAAGTGTTTATATCTGTAAGAGAAAAGCCTCAAGGCTGAATTGCTGGATGAAAAGGAACATGAACTTGTAATTTTGATAGATATTGCCAAATTGCCCTCAATCAGGTAGGAGTTATTTTAATGCTGTCTTCACCCTTTTATCACACGCAGTTTTCTTGCTGCACCTTTCCACTTCCTCCAAGGGCCCTGTAGGGGACCATTTCAACATATCAAACTCAGAAATGCCTCTCTGGCCTCAGCCTCCTATGGGTCTCTCGCTACCACTCTGGCCACACGACCACCGGCCTGTTCTTCCTCCCCTTTCCTTGCCCAGAGGTCATCATAGACTGCCGGCTTCCTTTCCTCTTTCCAAGCTGGCCCCATGATCAGCTGTCTTAGCCATGCTAGTGTTCATCCCTGGACTCACTCTCCCCATGACCTTCTGTCGTACCTGCTCTGCCAATCCTCGGCCCTGTGAAAACCCCACCACCCATTCTCTCCATCCCCCAGTCCCAGCCTGCTAACTATTGCTGGAGAAGGTCATGAGATTGGCTCTGCTACAAAGCCAGGCCAGTCAGCCTCAGCGGGGCCCCAAGGGCTGCGAGGCAGTCCTTTTATATATCTGTATCAAACTTCTCTCAGTGATTGTTCCAAATCCTCTCCCTCTCTTCAGGTCCCTTTCCCCACTCTCACCCCGACCCCTCAGTTGAGGGCCTAGCCTTGGGTTTCAATGACAGGACACAGGTCACCAAGCAGGAACTCCCCTGATTCTCTCAGCTCTTTACCTCGCCCTTCCTTGGATCTCCGCATTTTCGCCTATGCCTGCTCATCCCCCATCCCTCAGCCTCAAGAGAACAAGGGACTTCCTCCTCAAGGCTTCCTCTTCCACCTGTGCCCTTGACACTAAGTCCTATTGTATTCTCCTGCACGTGGCCCCAGGGACCATCCTTTTTCCCTTTGGGCAAGCTCTCCCTCCCTGCTAGGTTTTCCCTCTCAGCCTAAAAACACTTCCCCCCTATTGGTGTCACTGTTCCACACTACCAACAAACTTTGAAAGTTTAGTCATCTTTAAAATTACACAAGTAATTCATGCCTCCTGGCTTCACTTCTTCCTTCTAAGTCAGCCCCAAAATTTAACAGAAAACTCAGAAAATAATGATAAGTAAAAAGAAGAAAATAAAAACCACCCACAATCCCACCATGTAACTGTTAATATTTTGGTGTATTTCTTTCCAATCATTTTATATGCACATATATTCATTTACATGCCTATATGTATTGTTTTCTTACAAAAGTGGATCATAGTACACAAAGTGCTGTCATACTATATTTCAGACACCTTAGCTTTGCTATTTATTAGTTGTCTGATCCTGGTTAAGTAAATTAACATTCCTGAGTCCATTTCCTCCTGTGTAAAATGAGGACTATTGTAGTAACCATCTTGCAGGGCTGTTATGAGGATTCAATGAGATAAAAATATATAAAAACACTTATCACAGTGCCTGACACATGGCAAGTTGAATTAATGTTAGCTATTACGATCTTCCAACGTCAATAAATATAGCTCTACA